CTGAACACAGTGATGATAAATGTTGCAGAGTTCTTTACCTGCATGTTACGCGAACTTTAACCTCCTCAAATGGACTATGTGGCGTTATTTAGACACACGCGGATGCTTATTACTATAGTACTTAATTGCAAAATCAATAAAAAGCATATTTCCACCAATAGGGCCCCCTGTAGCTCGGCCGAAGAACCAAGTGCATTAAGCTCGTTCTGTTTGACCACCGTCAATGTGACTTTATGTTCGACGTGTGATTTTACTTATAATCATCGCCAGCATCGTAATATTTTGCTTACACTGGCGTCTACAATGGAGTTACACAACAATAGTGCGATTAATCAACCCTGGCAAAACAAGTTTAGGGTGGTAAGGGTCTGGAGACTTACGCTCCGGTTAGAGCGATCGGAATAACCCTCTTAACATGCCGAGCATGTATTTTTTTTAGCAAATCCCTGCTAAGAGGGGCACTGGGACGAAGACTAAGGAGCTCCGTGAGCAAATGGGAGATTCTCAATTCTCGCACAACACCCAAGACTACTTCGAATATGCTGAAATGACGGTCGATGTGTGGCAGGTTGAATAGCCGCATGCTCTTGAGCAGTTTCCGCGTTAAGTAATCCCCCTTTTCTTCAGCAGCAGGTCCTAGTCATGAGTCGTTCACCACTTAGCCAAGAGGGGATGTGGCTCATCTGAACATTGTTGAGGATGTTCAGTTAAATGCCTGACAGAGTGCCCAACAGTAGATCCGGCCTTTTTATTCTTCGGTTGCAATTTGTGCAGAACAAACAAAAGGGTGAAATAAACACAAATATCAATATAGAATGACAAACCAGCACTGGAACAGAGGGGAGCAAGCGACAGGAAGAAGAGATGACAGGCCTCTCCTCTCCACTGGGGACCGCCAGCACGCCGTGGTAACTGCTCCCACACACACGCATTGACCCGCTGGAGCCAATCAGGCAGCGGGAGCTGAGTCGTTCAAACGTGGACGGGGGAAGCTCTTCCTCCAAGGG